CCTCCTCCTCCTCCTCCTCTTCCTCCTCCTCCTCCTCCTCTTCCTCCTCCTCCTCCTCCTCTGCGCTCGACGTCTGCGTAAACAATGTCCTCCCCCCCGTGACTCTGCGGACGCCCGAACTGGGCACGGACAAAAGGGGTACGATGCCCAACAACAGGTGTCGTCTGAAGCCGACAGCGGCCGCTGTTGGGCAGAAGGCCTGCTGTTTCAAATGGACAACATCCGCGGCGGCGCCGACAGCCCTGTTCAAAATGGACAGGAACCGCTGTTAATCGCCGTAGCCCATTCTTTCCATACCCGTTTCGATCGGGCCGTGACTCTGCCGGCAAGCTCGGCAGGGCCAAACGGTCCGCACTGCGCGGGATCTGGCGGGGAGGGGAGGGGAGGGGAGGGGAGGGGAAGGGAGGGGAGGGGAGGGGGGGGGAGGCCTGAACCCTGGGGCCTCCCCCCGGGACCCGCTGCTCACCCTGAGCCGTTCTCTGACAGACCCCTGGAGCCCGCGGAGGGCGCCAGGGAGCCCACGACTGGGGAAAACCTTAGGGCCCGTGCCCCTCATGGCGGCTTCGCCCTCTCCCAGCCTGACGTGAGGCCCCGCCTTCTTTGCCCTCCCTCTGCTAATTAAAGCTGTGCGCGGCCCGCTTAGCTTCTATCGGAAGAGGCTCGCTCTCGACCCGCAGATCAAAAAAGCCCCTCATGGCGAAAAAACCCAAAACCCCCGACGTCAGGACTTTTGTCAGAACGCCGACCCCCAAAAGTATCGACCCATTCCTTGTGACCGGCTGCTCATACTGAGTTGCTGTTTGAGGGCCCCGGGCCCGGCATAAGGGCCCGCAAAGGCCGAGCACGGCGAAAAATCCTCCGTCGTGGTCTGTTCACGACCCGAGGGGATATGGGAATTAGAAGAATTACTCACTGCGTGGAGCTCCCCATATGTGCATCTCATGTCTTATATTATGCCTTAGTGAGCGTCTGTTCATGAGTGTCTGACTATAAGAACGCGCCCATGTGGGCGACAGGCCCGACGAAGACAAGTGAACCCTCATGCCAGCGAGTGAGTACGAGTCAGAATTAGCTTTGAGTATGATTGAACGTGAGCCTCTTCCTCCTCACTCCTCCTCCTCAGCTGCCAGGCCGTCTGACTATGAGAAGGTCTGAGTATGTGTAGGTCTGAGTATGAGTAAGTCTGTGTATGAGTACGTCTGGGTATGAGTAAGTCTGAGTATGAGTAAATCTGTGTATGAGTAAATATGTGTATGTGTACGGCTGGGTATGAGTAAATCTGAAACCAGCGCCCCGACTGACACATCCTCCAAATCTGCTGTAATCGCAGACGATGTTGGACACCGAAACAGGCAAATCGCCTGACATCCCCACAAACTGGCCGCGAACGGGCCCGTGATATACCCCCTGGCGGCTCCCCTTAGAGTGCTGAAACTAGCGCCCCGACTGTGACATCCTCCAAATCTGCTGTAACCGCAGACGATGTTGGGCACCGGTACAGGCAAACCGCCTGAGACCTCCCCACAAACTTGCCGCGAACAGGCCCGTGATATACCCCCTGGCGGCTCCTCTTAGGAGTGCTGAAACCAGCGCCCAGCCTGAGACATCCTTTAAATCTGCTGTGGACGCAGACGATGTTGGGCACCGAAACAGGCAAACCGCCTGAGACATCCCACAAACTGGCCGCGAACAGGCCCGTGATATACCCCCTGGCGGCTCCCCTTAGGAGTACTGAAACCAGCGCCCCGCCTGAGACATCCTTTAAATCCGCTGTAGACGCAGACGATGTTGGGCACCGAAACAGGTAAACCGCCTGAGACATCCCCACAAACTTGCCGCGAACGGGCCCGTGATATACCCCCTGGCGGCTCCGCTTAGGAGTGCTGAAACAAGCGCCCCGACTGTGAAATCCTTAAAATCTGCTGTAGACGCAGACGATGTTGGGCACCGAAACAGGCAAAACCGCCTGAGACATCCCCACAAACTTGCCGCGAACGGGCCCGTGACATACCCCCTGGCGGCTCCCCTTAGGAATGCTGAAGCCAGCACCCCGCCTGAGACATCCTCAATATCTGCCGCGCGTTGAGTAACTCAGACTAAAAAAAGGTCTGAGTATGTGTAGATATGAGTATAAGTAAGTATGTGTATGAGTACGTCTTGGTATGAGTAAGTCTGAGTATGAGTAAGTATGTGGATGAGTAAGTCTGAGTATGAGTAAGTCTGTGTATGAGTAAATCTGTGTATGAGTGAGTCTGGGTATGAGTAAGTTTGCGTATGAGTACGTCTGGGTATGAGTAAGTCTGAGTATGAGTAAGTCTGTGCATGAGTAAGTCTGTGTTCTGGGTGTGTGATTGTTCTCTGGAGTCGGCGGCGTCCAAGAAATAACAAGAACCCCATCTTAGGATATGGGGAAAAAACGGCAGAAACATAACTCTCGACGGTCGGCGCGGATTCCTACTGGCGCGCTCCGCGCGCCAGGGAGGGGGTCCAGCGCAGATCCAAGAATTCCGCGTGGAGCGCCGAAATTTAATGTTTACGACGCTCTTCTTCTTCTAGCAGGGGATCCCCCCGCAGCGAACCGCGAATGGGCGAGCGCCCCTCCTCTGGGGGGCAGAAGGGAGAGAAAGCCCAAGAGAGGGCTCGCGACCACAGCGGGGGAAGTGCCGCTGCGGACCTGGGAACAGCGCCCCCTCTGGGAGAGGGGCGACCGGCGGACGAGGGAAGGGGCAGGCGAGACGGCAAGGGCGGAAGGCGAGTGCGGAGGAGGATGACCGACTATCGCAGGTTCGTGTCGTGTGGACCACGGCGCTGGTCCCTGACACCGAGGGGATCGTTCAGCCTTGGGAAATCGGCGGTTTCCGAA